GCTGGTGGAGAGATCTGTTGGAGCACTGCAGGTGCGATCACAAAGTCCCTTTCCCACATCCGTGAGCGCTCCCTGGGGGCAAGGATCCCATGTGTCTTTATTAAGACTGCTCCTTTGTTCCCGGAGAAGGGTCTGAGAAGGGCACTAAGTATCTGAAGAGAACCATAACCTGTTTCAAATTAACTGATTCTTTATTATCTGATCGTTCAGTTGAATAGAATTCACAATTTTGGCTCTTCATTTGCCTTAGGCCTGTAAAGTGCTAACCTAATCAATGAGTGCAACTCATTTCATCAGTGAGTTCGTTTGCTACTGGCTACTGCAGCTCAAGAAGGGAGAAGACGAGACTGGCCTGCATAATGAGGTGTTTGAATCCAGTGTTCGGAAAAATCCTCTTTCCTCTGTGCTGCACAGCGCCACGAACCCATAAAACACTGAAGAAGCCAGCATAGCACGCAACAGCTGTCCCGCATAACTGCTTGGCCCAATAGCAGTAGTTTTAAAATACTAGTCTGGCTGTTGCAGGCCACCATACATTATCATCTCATTTTCCATAAAAAGCTTGGGATGTTGCACATGAGCTTCAGTGGAATTAGAATCATGTGCGCTTTGAAATATTTATGCTTGCCTTGAGATGGAAGGATAATTCCTGCCTCCAACCCATCCCCCCCCAGTAACGGATTTAATACTGCCGGATAGTCCAGCTCCTCTGCACCTACAGCAGGTAGAGATGAAGTTCTGACCCAGAACACGCAGATTCTCATAGGTTGTAGAACTTGCATTTTATGTCATTTAGTGAGGTCAGTAATAAAGTATAAATGTCACAGGCTGAAAGACGCCAAGAGAAATACAGTTTGGCAGCATGGGGCTGCTTAGGGATACATAAATAATAAGTCAATAAGTAAATAAATAATAGACAAAGACCTGTTTTCCATTTGGAGATGTCAAAGAATTTACAGTCACTGATTGAGACTTGCAGTATCCCATCAGAAGCACGTAAATAGTAACAGCCCCTTCTTGTTCACAGGAAAATGTGCGTCGCTCAGCATGGTTTTCAGAAGCGATGTCTGTAATTTCTATTAAGCATTTCTGAAAATCACAACTGACGGGGCTTGTCCATGGTCACTTGCCTTGTAGAGGCAAACAGGGAAAACGGCAACCTGCTCCACTACCTCACGTCCTTTAACCGATTAAAATGTTTGTGAGGATCCATAATCTTGGGAAGAGGGTTGTGTTCGATACTTGGAACTTGTTTGAAAGGCCGTTATTGCATGCAGCGGAGTTGGTGGCCACGACACAGCTCTCAGAGTAATGGTCTGTATCCGGGCCGGCAGTTTTTAGACTTAGCAAGTTAATTCCCTCTCCTGAGGATGAAGCAGGCACGCGTGTAATGTTGATCAGTTTAATAGTGGTAGATTCTTCCTCTGATCAAACAGCCCTTTCTTTTGCCACTTGAGGAATGGGGTATTTCTCGGAGACTGCAAAAGCAGACCTCTTGGGAGACCCTTCTTCCATTCGTTACTTCTCATGCCAATCTGTCGACGCAGAAAATGAACCTACGCGGCACAGACCGCGGATTGCTGCCCGGTCGGCCTGGTTTCCTTCCCCCAGTCTTGCCCGTGATCAGCAGAGAGCCCTTTGAGACTGTGCTGAGGAGCTGGCCAAGACTCCAGAGAAGAAGCACTTTCTCCTTCTTGCGGTGCTTCACCCTCCTGAGTTACTCTTGGTCATTTCTGCCTCTTGGCGAAGGTCGCCGGCATCGCTTTCCACCTTGTTTCTCCCTGACATGCTGCGGAGGGCAGGGCAGCAGAGAAAGGCCCGGTAGGCTTGCACACCTTCGAGCATTTCTGGTAGCCCTAACACGTCTGTCATCGAGCAAATCAAATCACGCATGAAGAGCCGTATCCTGGAACAGCTCCATGCAGTGTGCTCTCGGGCGTAGCTCTGCGTGTCCACGTGTCCCCTCGGTACATCTTTTACTCCTTCTTGTTTGGCTGAAAGAGCATTTCTACCTCCTTGTCCACCAGCGGAAGAAAAGGGATGAACGTGTTCCCAGGTGTGTGCGAGGGACAGCGCGGTTGCACAGCAGGGTCAGATGGCAGGCACAGAGCTGGTGCTAGTTTTTCTTTTGTAAATGTTCCAAAAAATGCAACGTTTTACTTCATTAGTTGTCTGCCACGTAGATTTTCATTTCTCACTTTTATCTTCATCCTTCATCTTTCATTTGGCATGCAAGGAATGGAGGAACTATAGAAGGGGATGCGAAGGAAGAGAGGAAGAACGTGGGTTATATACAAAAACCGGCAGTGAGGTGTGCTAACGAAAATGTTGTTGTAGGCACCAAAATGCTCTCCACCAACTTCTGTTACACAAATATTCTTGGCAAGGTATTTTGACAAGCTGTAAATGGCTGTTGCTTCCGGAAGGTGATGGTAGTCAGCCCGGTGAAGCGGGCGTGCCACGAGAGCAGTTGCACCGCAGGGGTTGGTGTGGGCAGAGCTCACCTGGCTCCAGGCTGGTGCGTAGGCTGGAGGACTCAGCTGTGGAGCTAGGACCGGTGGGCTCCTTCACGGGAGAGCTGCCACGTGCGGCCGATGAAGGCCAGTCAAAGGAAGTGGTTGGGTTTTGGGTGAGATGAATGGCCCCTTAGACACCATTCGTTCCGGTTATTCTCCACTGATTCCAAGATGATGCGCTCCATGGTAGACACTCGCATTTACTAAGGTGAATCCCGCACCATCTCTACCTTTAATAGCACACTTCAAAGCTACAGCCTCTCCCAGGAGTTTGGGGACAGGAAAAGAGCCTTCATTTCTTCCTTTGAAGATCTGGGTTCTTCATCTGAAGAGTTTTCAAATAAGCTGTGATTTAAGATGCAAACTCAGAACAAAACTATTTGCCTTAAAAGCGAGGAAGAAATAATTAACTAGGTTTGTACAAGAAAGGAGAGATAAGCCCAGATGTTCAGACAGGTTGAACAGGCTGGGCACACAGGTGTTTGCCTTGGCGTTGGGATAACTGTCAGCATTTCCATAACAAGGAGCGTGGGATATGCTGCTTCTTGTTTCCCTTTCCCAAATGCAGCGCTGCAGAGCCAGCGGGGCTGTGGGAAGGCGGTGGTTTCCAGTTCAGCCCCCATGCCGCAGCAGCTGGCTGGTACACGACAGGTAGAGCCCGTGCTTCTGGAAGAGTTTCTCGGGATGCACATCGGCTTTGGTCGGCGATAGCTGAAGGCGGCGTCTTGGTTCCCTGTCTCCGTGCTTTCTTTCGGTGGTGTCTTCCCATCTGGCCTGTGTTTCTCTTGCTGCTGTGCATATTTTAAACAGCATTAAGGGGAGCAGACTGGGAAGACTCGTGGGGTTAACAAGGATACAGGGGCCCTTCCTCGCCAGGATGAGAGCTTCATATTCATCCCGTATCAGCACCCCAGGCATGAGCGAGGCTCATGGTGCTGGTGTCAGAGCAGCCGTTCCTATCCGCTCGAGGAGAAGGAGTACGTAAAGTGCTGCCCAGCCAACCCTTAGTGTGTGTTTATAGGGTAGTGCAGTGGGTTTCCTTGCTGCTGTCCCCGAGTACGTGTTTTATCCACACCTTCAGGCTCTGACTTTGCTCAAGAAAAAAATTATTAATAAAGTGTCATATTATTAAACCGGCAGTGAACAAGACTAAGAAGCAGATTTTAGCTTTTATTTAACTGAGGGTTTTTCATAACATTCGTCATGAAATGAATGTTTGCTCATTTGTGTTTGATTTTAGCTAACTTTCCTGCACATCTCCAGTTTTTCGAAAAGTGCCAAAGGCTTTTTCTTCTCCCTCTTGTATATTTAACGTACTTCAGAGTCGACTCATGAGTTTCTGTAGGGTGTTACCTCCCTTGCACAGCCTTTATCTGGTGGGTTGTGTGTGGTGTACAAGTGCAGTGTTTGCACATGGACACCCTTGAAAGATTACTAGGAGAGCGTGCCAGGGGAGCAGCAGGGATGTAACGATGACCGTTGGTGAGAAATAAACCCTGATTTACAGGTGATCTTGTCTGCAACCAGATTAATTGGTCGTTCTGAAGGAGGAGCGAAGTCTCATTTTAGAGGGGAAGGGGAGAATTCATAGCACTGTGAACGGCAGCACTTGCTGCCTCATGGTGACAACTGCGGGTGGGAAGCACTGTGAGCTAACGAGGGTCCGACCCAAGGTATCCTGAAGGCCAAGGAACTGGGCAAAGGTGTCGCATGACGTGGGAGAGCGTAAGGCTCTTCAGCTGCACTTGTCCTGCTCAAATCGGCGGAGGGTAAAATCTGTCATTGCCAATGGCCTTGTGTACATTACACCTTTACACCTTCACTGTAGTACATTTTCCAGCTGGCTTGTTGGCCCATAAATTCACCAAATTAAACTTCATCCCTGAATGCAAGCTGGGGGCTTGCTGACGATTTGAGCCTCGCTTTATTCAGGAGAAATGTAAATGTAATTTTCAAAACGATCTTGCCACTTTGTGCCTGTTCATTAGATGAAAACACGTTACTTAAAATAAATGTTCCTAAACGGAGGTGGAAAAAAAACCCCAACAACAGGAAGTGTTAGACCATCTTTAAATTCTCAACCGTTTTTAGTACAGTATAAAATGGATTCATATGTGCAAATCCACGTTAAATGAAATGTCAGTTAAATCAACCTTATTCTCCCAAATACATCTTTTTATTGCCTGATTGATGAGGACTGCTCTCCAGGTGATGAATAGCTTTCACTTTTACCAAGGACTGCTGATTCCTTTCTAAGTGTCCACTAAAAACACGGAAAATCCTGTAAAGTGTCTGGCTCCATTTGTTTTCAGGACCTAGATGAAGTGAGCGTAGGACACAACGTGGTCTCCTATACGAATTGTGAACCTCCGATGTGTAAACAGTACTGTACATTTTAAAAAAGACTAAAACTACAGTAGATTTCAACTGTTTTATTTTCCAAAGGCAAAACTCTATATAACGTCTTTGTTTTCTTTCCTATAGCAAGTCCACATGCAACACCATCGACTCTTCATTTTCCAACATCACCCATTATCCAACAGCCTGGGCCATACTTCTCACACCCAGCAATCCGCTATCATCCTCAGGAGACTCTGAAAGAGTTTGTCCAACTTGTCTGCCCCGACGCTGGTCAGCAGGCTGGACAGGTGGGGTTCCTAAATGTAAGGAAGCCGTTTTTATTTCTTCAGAAGTGTTTGTCCTATGTAAAATGAACCAGGGGGTTACGGGGTTACTTTAACAGCATGCTGCATACAGGAACACACCTTGAATAGTCGTTGGAGGAAAAAAATAAATAAATGCTGCTGCTGCAAAAATATTAAAAAAAAACCCACTCGACCACATTATGGTGAAATTCCCTTAAACTGTGAGAGAAGCCGGTGATACAGTGACCTTGTGGGTCCCTCCACACATGGCTCTGCTGCCTGCCTTCTAACCTCAGTGGAAGGAGGGTTAACAAAATACGGAGGCAGAATAATTTTTATTAATTATTTTTGAAGTTCAGGGGAGAGTGGGGGGAAGGAGCAGGAAGGGGGAGGGTGAGAAACAGATGTTTCAGATCAGCTAAGTTCATTAAAAAAAAAAATACTGCCTTATAGCACTTTAGATCAAGTTGACCAGTACTTGAACTCAAGATGTTAAAAGTACAGTTTATTATGGTTTGTTATTTCTGTAAGCAGTTATCTTTTCCCCTTATCTCTATGAAAAATTAAGCAGAGTTCCAAAGCTTCAAATAACCATTTTCATTTTTTCTTTAATCAAATAAAGTGAATCATCTTGCTATTATTGAAACAGCATTCCGGTCAAATACAGGATTTATAAATTTTATGTAAATCAAATCTAAAATAATGCTCTGAATATTTCATGAAATGTAATGCATGTAACTTTTTCCAGCCAATGAAGTAATAACTGGCAAAATTACTGTTTCTCTCCTGACATACATACGATTGAAAGTGTTAATGAGAATTAGTTTAATTATTAGCATCTAATTTATTACACTTATTTAATAAGCTGTATTGTTCTCGGTGCGTTCCTTGCCCTAGCAGAAAAACTGACTCTGGGTAGTGCAGCCAGCACCGGCTTTGAATAATGTCTGCAATATGTTAGCAGATACATTTACGTCTAGACAACAAATCAATAGAGTGCTTTTCTTTTTCCTTGAGTATTCATTTGCTTAATTTATCCCAAACCATTCAACATTATGAACTGTTAGCACACTCACAATGAACATACAGCAGGGGTCTTCTTGGCAGGAAAGAGACCTAATTGTGAGACAAGATAGTGTTTGAGAGATGTCACTAATATATTAGTTTATTAAAGGTGCTGGGTGCTGAAAAAATAAATATCCCCGAAGGATTGCTTCTTACTGCAGACACTGGTGGCTGCAGTCTTTGAAGTCGGTGGGAGTGCTGCTAAGTGAAATGCAGATGAATTTGACTCTTATTTATGCCTTGAACCATTTTTGCTCTTTTTTTTTACACGACTTCAAGGCCTTTTGTCAGTGCCAGAGCAGGTGACATGAAAATAAGGTCCCAGGGCTTGCCAGTGTGAGCATTTTGTCCCCAGTAATTCAGGCTAATGGAAACCCTAACGGGAATTAAAATATTATTTTCTTTAGCAGTACTTGGAATATGGATCTGTGTTTAAAGCTGAGCTTTTATCATCAATGGAAAAGCCAATGCTCAGTGCCAGAAGAACTGCAGTGAGATCAATTTGTAGAGTGCTGTCGAAAGTGATCTCATCATTTTTGTCACTAGAATGGAACACCTGATTCGCAGCCTGTCCTACTTTCTCTTTATAATGGTATTTGGCATCTGTCTGTATGGTTTTCAAGTGTCCAGGCTGTGTTACGTCTAAAATGTAAACTTGACAAGCTGGGGGAAGGGGGGGCATTTTTTTAAGCCTGCTCCTTGGTTTTGTGATACTTGAAAACACTTTTAGTCACGGACAGGTTTTTTTCTGGTGATGAGCTGAAAGACCACGCTTGTGTGGCCAGGCCCATGCTGCCTGAGACTGACCACATCCCAGACTAAAGGGAGGGTCACTTTTTCCCCCCGTGTGTAAAATGAAGCAGCTCTAAGTTCAGTCGTTTGCCCATGTGATCCTCATGGCAACTAAACTGTGAGCTGCACTACTGCTAACTCAAAAGGGATGTGGGAGAGCAGTTCCTTTAATACACACTCATTCGTTTTCCTGTAATAAGATATCAACGTGACTTTTAAGACCACCAAAAGTGCTTATTTTTGTTCTTAATGAGCAGTATCTTTAAGAAATTTGCACTCAAGTCCTAGGCACCGGTATCCTAAAGGTATAAAAGGGACAAGAAACTGGGGGATTTAAGGGGTCAAAAATACTGCTTCAGCTCTCACTGAGCAGGAGTTAGTAACTGCAGGAAATGTAAAGAGTAGTAGGATTTAATCCAGGGCAGTTCAGACCAGCTGCTAATGGGAGAAATGTTAAAAAGTGCTAATTTCCGTAGTGTCACCAGGTTCACAGGGTTTGAGACCAAAGTTCCTTGAAGTCAATGGAGAATTTGACCCAAAGCTTTCTTTGCCACCTCCCAAGCAACTGTAAATGTATTGCACATAGCTTTCAACTAGATTGTTGTTACTGGCGGTTCCTAATAGCTGATTTTTAGTATAATTTTTGTCTGTTTGCTTGTTTTTTGGCAGCCCAATGGTAGCAGCCAAGGCAAGGTGCACAATCCATTCCTTCCTACCCCAATGTTGCCACCACCACCTCCGCCACCAATGGCTAGGCCTGTGCCTCTGCCAGTGCCAGACACAAAACCTCCAACCACATCAACAGAAGGAGGGGCCACCTCTCCCACTTCTCCAAGTAAGTATAGACGCAGCGGGAAGCAAGGGCTAACAGCAGCGCGCGGCGCGCTGCCGTCACTCTGTCGGCTGTGCAGAGATGAGGGCTGGACTGGCCCTCGGGAAGTCGGAGAGCTCTCCGCTCTGCATATGACGGGCAAAATTCTGAGCTGGTTTTACGTTAACGAGAGAAGAGTTAGCCTGAGGTTACAGTTTTACTTCTGACTGCTGGCATTTCACTTAACCACGAATGAAAGAAGTGGAGGCCAGTAGCTAAGCTGTGACACAGACCTGGGACCTTTGGGATCTTGGTTACTGTCACGAGGAGGCAGTTGGGTGTCTCAGCTCGGGCTTTAGAGGATAGATGCTACATGGCAGTCAGACAGATAGCCTCATCATCGCTGCTTATACATACTGGGCTAAACTAACAACCCTTTGGAGTTCGCTTCATTTATAGTTCTTTTGGGAATACGTCTCCCCAGATCAACCCAGACATCTTTCCTTTATGACTTGGTTCCCCAGCCCTGCGTTTTGGGCAAGAAGCTATGGTATTTCTTAGGCTCAAGGAGAAAGCTTTATTCCTCTCTCCACCACCCACACGGCTCCCATATGTATTTTGTGTAGCCACAAGTCAAATATACAAATTCCTGGATACACACTTGGGGATACCACTTTGGACTCACTCTGCTGGGAAACAAATGCGATTCAGCTGGGTTTGATGCTTTAAAAAAGTCTGGATGTTCAGGGAGTTAATTGTGAAATGATTTAATGAAGCTATGCTCAAACTGACATTTAAAAACAAAAGGGAAGCTTTCAGTGCTTTAATGGCAACTGTAGGGGACTTGTTCCACAGTGAAGGGAGTCCAAATAACATCCACAAACAAAAATCAATCCAATCGAAAGAGCAAATCCCTTTGTGTGCTTTTCAAGCTTATTATTTAAATGCTGTATGCAGCCGCTGCTGACGTGCGAAGGGGTGCTCGCCATTCAGCCCCTGTGAAGCCTGCATTCTCGAAGCTCCGTATACCGGTCAGGAGATTGCACAGGTTCCAGGGGGCATTTTTAAAATCTGGTAGTTCTTGGAGTTTGCAGTGCCCTCTGCTTCGCGCTCGCGCACAGCTGCACACTCAGCACGATGCTCTGGCTCGCGTAGAACCGAAAGTGGTTTTGGAATGAGACAGTCTGGTAAGATTGTGAACATGATCTTCTAGAAGCAGGACTTCTAGAATCGATCGGTAGATTTCTGTTGAGCTAAGAAGTTGGTTCATCCCCTCCCTCCACTCCTCCTTCCGACCTTAGGCCAACGCTTGTGCTGTCAGGAAGTTTTGATGCTTTCTGACGGGAGATACCGCCTTGTACGTCCTATCAATAAGATTCAGCGGTGGAGTCTAAAAGGGTAATGTTTAGTCACCGTTATCACTCGATACAGTCAGCAATGCCTTGCAATTTCCTTGCCTTCAGAACCGGGAAGGATGAAACTAGGTCAACCTGTATTTGTCATTACGGTCGTGACTCGGTTTACTGGCAGCGTGTGGTGTCTAAACCGAAAAAAATGCCCAGCATCACTTTAGCGGTAATCTTAACACTTAATTCTTGCGCTACTGCGATCGCGTAGACCAGCTAAAAGCGTGTTCTGGCCTGACTCTCAGCTGGCACCAGGACTGGCGTTTGTCCGCTGAAGCCTGCAGAGCACCACCCGTCGGCATCCGCGCGGGCCGGGCGCCGCGGCTCAGCGTTCAGCAGACGCCGCCGGGGGAGCGAGGAGTTCTCAAGAGCAGCCCGTTAATGGTCTTTAAGCAAAAGACCAGGAAAATAATTAGTTCTGTTAATTAGCTACGCTGATGTCTGAACGTATAGTTCTGTACATAGTCAGGCGTGTATCTTCCTTTTGGTAAGCGTCTTGAATAATAGTGACTTGAGTTGTAAAGAAGCATATAATTTAATTTAGGGCCAAATTTTACAGAAAAGCAGATTATAGGAAATATTTTCTGAGGAAGAATATTACATCTGTACCGAAGGCAGTGGAGGTGGCTGGCCACAGAAAGGGTGAACCCGACGTTCCGGGCCTTGCAGCAGGGGCGTACCAGAGGGGCCCGCTGGATCCCACTGAGCGCATCAACCAGCAGCAACCCTCCATTTTCGGCCGTGTTTATTTTCTCCTTCACACTAAATACTAGCCTTCAAATAGCAAGTGCAGATTGACCAGAGTTCCATAAAAGCCACACAGAAAGGTGTTTTCCATCATTACGAACTGCTGGAGTGCACCGGGTCGGGGGGTGTCGCTGGGTATGGCTCCCTGCCCTGCAGAGCTTTGGGATGTTGGGAAGTCGCTTACGCACCGGAGGCAGGAGTGATGTTAGATTTTGGCCAGACTCTCTCCTTAGCTGTGTGGAGGAGAATGAAGCCCCCCCCAAGGAAACGGAGTGAAAGGGGTTGGCATTTGCTCCGTTCTCCTTCCCTTTTTTGGTCTAGCAGAAAGCCCTCTGCAGAAACAAAATGCACTTACGGCCCTACCAAAAATTGGAATATGGCCCTCCTGAGGGGTGCGGGAGCCAGGAGCAGCTGTTCAATACAGCATGGCCTCCTGGGAATGAGAGCTAAAAATCACAACAAGGTGGTTAATGATTCTCAGAGCAATAGTGAAACTCTCCAGCTGTGACATTAACCAAAACACGAACATTAGTGCTGTCCAAGGGAGGACGAGCCTCTGGGGATGCACGCCGGGGATTTGCCGCTACTGGGTGGCCAGGCCTGCCCTGGGAGTTGAACATTTCAGCTGTGAATCCTACCCCTTTGGAAAGCCAGCATTTTCCTCAGTGAGATGACACAATGGAGATGGGATTCATGAGGTTTGGGCGGGTTCATTTTTCCCCCATAAAAAGCCTTTCCAATAGCACACATCCTTGATATCAGACGCAGCCCCAAAATTATCTTATCTCAGATCTCAATTTTGTTTGGTTGGTGACCCGTAACAAACACAACACAATGTTTTCTTGAACTTGACAGTTTCTGGGTTTAATCTCTCATCGCCCAAAGAAAACACCACCTCCAGTACGTGCCAGTTGGACTTTATCGTAAGTGCACGTGAGTGTTGGAATCTGTGGCCCTCACTGCAGTGCAGAGCCTAAGCTATGCCATCCTGTACTCCATGATTTTTGAAGAGCTTTCCTGAACTAAATGCCTTTTCCTAAGCTTCACATCTCTGCCTGGGGAGAACCTTAGGTATTTTCCCTGGCTGGGCAGGATGGTTATCAGTGAATGTCCCTTTGCACAAAGGATTTTTTGTGTTAAACAGCATTTGTGTCAGGATGAGAAGAATGATCTCGTGACTACAGTACTGGATTCATAATCAGATGGGATTTCTCTCCCTTTCTGTGCTGTGCACTGACTGAGCACCCTCTGGGCAAGCCATTTTAGCTTTCTGTTCACTCCTTTCCCCATCCATTAAAAAGAGGGTGATGACTGTATCATTTGATTGGCTCGAGTTTGCAGTTCCCTCTCAGATGCGCAGCGGCAGAATGCCCTGCAGTCGGAATTGCCGTACTGCACCGCGTCCCTCCAGTTAGTTCTCTCACTGCAGCTCCGCAGCGGCTGAACTGACTCCTAGTCCTGAGCGAACCGGTACCGCTCCTCATCTCAAGCCCATGTACCCGTCGTCTTGGTCTGTAAAAGAGAGACCTAGTGGTATAGACACTGCTCACACAAATCATCTCACCAACCGAAACTATCCTTTTGATCCAGAACTGTCTGATAAATGACACACTCCTCTACTTAATAGGAATTATCTCAGGAAAGTATATTTTAAATTAACATTCTCCTGCAGGCAGCTTTAAAATACATGACATTCCCCAAACTGTTTGTTTGTCTTGTCTTTCATACAATTTCTTGCCATTTTGGCTAAATACCAAAGCTGTGTGTGTGAGCAAATGTTCTTTCTCTGCCAGCTCCTGTTTTGCTTGCTCCTGAAGTGAAGCATCGTAGCAAATTTGTGGCATCACATTCATTTCCTTGGCTATGGGCTATGATGTTGCAAACAGCCCCTAGTGAGTCCCAGTAGCAGGAAGACTAGGCAGGGCAGGAGGATGTTTCCAGTCAGGCCCAACGGGCCAGCTACCAGCTGGCGTGAACTAGTGAGGATCTATGCAGTTCCCATGGAGCTGATGGAGATCAGGAAGAGATCTGCCTAAGAGACCTGGCTCCTGTTCCTTTCCACGCTTTGGCTTTTCCCTTTCCTAAAAAGGAGTTTGAAGACCCCACCACAGGCTTAGCCCAGGGATACTATAACATAATACGACCCAGCTTTGAGCAGTGAGAGCCCCGTGCTGTTCTCAGAACAGAGACATCAGAAGTGGTGAGGCTTCCAGGAATCCCACCTCCCTCTCAAACACGGGTATTTATATGAAGACAGTAAGATACAGCTAGAAGTCCTGTTGGTCTAGGCCACACTCAGTACTGCTCCCTTTTCTAAACCAAATTCCACCAGAACAGGGTTAGGGAATGTGTAATGTGTCACAAGCATCTCGTGACAAGGGACTGTGAAGCAGGACTGTCACCTGGGGCGAGCCCAGCGTAAGGCCCGCTCTGCGCCTGTGTCCTTCCGGTACTCTTCGCTTCTTGGCTCCAGCAGCGTAGTTACGTGACCTTAAGGAAACACCCAGCTGACACCTGCGTATGCTCAGAAAGCAAGTTAAACACAGTTTGGAGCATTACGGAAGGTGGCGTAGTAATTCACCCAGCGAGGTTTGAGGGGACTTTTGTGCACATTATACAGTTTTCAAATGCTTTGGAATGTTTGTTTGAACGGAGAAGCCATTTAAGACAGCATTCTGATGGTTTCCCTTTCATTTTCTACCAAATACCACAGCAAAAGTATCTGCCAACAGGGAACTGTAAACAAGATCTTGAGTTCCTTCCCTTCTGAGTGGAACTTACCTGCTCCAAGGGATTAAATGGCTTCTCCACTCATTCTGCTTCCTTCAAAGTAGACCAGAAGAACCAAACAACAGATGTTTGATTTTTGAGCTTTAAGTTAATTTTCCTGACTGCAGAAGGAATTTTTAGTCTCGCACAACATGGGGTTCAGTAGATGATAGTTAAAAAAACCCTCACCATAAAAGAAGAGAAGAATCTCACTACATGGTGCTAGAAACAGAGACACGTCCTTTGCAAATCTGTGGCTTCTTTGAATTATTAAACAAATTAACGTGGTAAAAAAGGCAGGGAGAAAATCTCACCAAATCTACTCAGTTCACTTCCTCCTTGGTTTGCAGATAGGATTAACAACCATTGTACCTGTTCCTACTCTAATATGCGGCCTGCACTGCAATTTGCAGAATCATCCCGGAAGGATGAACTAGTGCCCTTAAAAATTGCTTTAAAACATTGTGAAAGAAAGGTGCTCCTTGCGTGATTTTTGCGAGTACTAGCAAAGCGTTAGCTTTTTGGAGAGAAAAGCTCACCCCACTGGAAGCTACTGGGAAGAATTAAGTCTTAGAAGTCAGGAGTGCCTTACGTCTCCTCGGATCACCCAGCGATGGAGGATCCTGGGGTGATCTCAGGGCCATGCTCTTTGAAAAAGGGAACCTCTCTGGTGTAATTGTAAGAACTAGGAGGCGTCATGAGACGTTTGTGAAACTTGGGTAGAGTCACCCAGGAGAAGGATGCGGTTCTGCTGCTTGTAGACCTGGGAACTCCTCACCAAAGGGTTTTGTGGGATGCAGGACATTCGCATGGGTTCAAGGGCAGATTGAGCATTCATCAATGAGAAATCCCTTGCGGGCTATTAAATACAGGGAGTCCCTGAGCTGAAAATAAACAGAGGGTGGGAAAGAATATGAGAAAGTAAATAAATGTGTGACCTGTTTTGACTCTTCCCTGTGCATCTGCTTATGGCCCTGTAAGGGAAAGGACAGTGGATAAGGTGGAGCATTGGTTTGATTGAGTGCAGCCTTAAATCAAAGGCTCCTCCAATGTAATGCCTCTTCACCGACCATTTTGCCTTCAGAAAGGCAACAAGCTTTCGTCTACACAGACAACTCAGTGTCTTCTCCGACTCTTAACTCGCTTCATTTTTCTGTAACGTTGAGGCCTGAACATTATATTTAGCCTGACTGGAATTTGGCAAGTAACTTTCCTTTTAACATTGTTTTTTGTCTCTTCATTGGATAGTTAGATTGTCTGGGGATTTTATTCAGCAGAATGCATTCCCATAAATATATTTAAAATAGACAGAATCACTGTTGTATTAAGGCGTCTATTTAGGTTATTTGAATTTAGATCTGAGCATGCAAAAACTGAACAAGGGAGAAGATTGCATGGGGGATTTTCGAATGAGAGGAAGACTGAAAATGCATTGAAAGCTTTTGGATGTGGAAGTACGTGGCATTGTGGACAGTTGCAGTGGAGAATATAATGCAACAATAAAATCATTAAAGTACTTCGAGTTTGGAAGTAATCTGGGTTCTTGGCTTGCATTGCATTTAATAGCTTTACATTTATGGGAGCCATTCCAGTTTTTAAAGGCAGCTTCAGACTGATTGCACTTACCACCCCAGTGAAACTGCAACCCATTAATTTTTTACCGAAAGGATCTCCTTAGTTTGTCAAACACATCAAGTGAACATTTTAGAGAGTGCAGACCACAGCAAGATGAAACCCAAAACTTCGAATCGAGAGAGAACGCTGGATTAGCATGAAATAAGGGTCAGATTCTGCTAATAAGCCCTCTAGCAAATTCACTGCTCATTAAAACCTGCGACACCACTACCAGCCAGGCAGTGCCAGGGCCTCCAGAAGTCTCCCGTGCTCCCCCAGCGTGGAAGGGCCGGCAGCGGTTCCCCCGGGGTGGGTGGGAGCGCAGGTGCCCCCCGCGCCCTCCTCCCTGAGCCCACGTCCTCGCCGTGCCCGGAGCCCTCTCCCAGCAGCCCGCTCCCTACGTGTTGATATCCCCGTCGTTAAGCCCAAACCTTTCCAGTGTCTAAAGCCAAACTCTCGCTCTCTAAAACGTTTGCACATTTCTATGTTAAACATCTGCTTAGGTGGCTCTGAGACAGTGTGTTTTGGTGTTGTTCGTGTGCAATCTAGTGCCGCTTCCTCAACGCATGTGTCCCTTCCCTTCACAGCCTACTCGACACCCAGCACCTCCCCCGCAAACCGATTCGTCAGTGTTGGACCACGGGATCCAAGCTTTGTAAATATCCCTCAACAGACTCAGGTGGGCCGCTTTCGACTTCTCTGTATGCCTGCAGCCTCTTCCTCCTCTGTGTCCTCTAACGTGTCCCCGCGGAGCCAGCTGCATTGCCGCTGTTCCTTCACCCCCATGGTCTCAGTAACTACAGTGGAATGTCACTTGCACTTTGTTTGTCTGTTGTGTTTTTTTGGGCTCGTGTAGTGATAACGCTGCTTTCCTAACTGGAAGGACCTCTCTCGCTTGCTGCGGTATCGGCTTCTAGTGCACAGGGGTTTTTTCCTCTAGGACTAAGTTGGCAACGACTTCTCCTTCCGCCTGTTCCCCAGGCGGTGCACGTGGTTGCAGATGCAGGAGGAGCTCGGGGAGCCCCGGCTGGTAACGGTGCACCTCAGTCCCCCACCAGCTACAACGGGAGACTTCTCCAATGGCTTCCATGTAAAAAAATAGCCTGGAATTCCTGGCTGGCCATTTGCATGGTGGGCTTTGAGCGAGCAGGAGATTTTGTAATTGCGAGCACATCTGTTTCCCTACTTTAAAAAAGTCCGGTTGAGGCAGGCCCATAAAGCTGGGTTAACTGAATTTGTAGTCCTGCTATGGTCAAATCAGAAGCTCAAGTAAACATTTGTGTTTCTTTAGGAGAAGGACGAGGTTTAAATGTGCTTTTTCCAAGCTGTATCAAATTCCCAGGGTCGATTAAGAAAATAGTTGTTGGCAGTTTTGTTAGCAGATAATTTGAGCCAGATGTTGAAAAAATTAAGTCTGTGCTTAATATCACATTATCATGGGGGAAAAGGTATAAAAAAGTGAGCAGAACTAGTGCTTTAGGACAATTGTAGTTTGTAATTTTAAGTGATTTCTTGACTACGTTACAATTCTTTTAAAGGTCAACAGCAAGAAATGTTTGTGATTTTGTTTTGAGCTGGTTGGGATGACTAAAAAGTAGTAATTCAAATAAGGAGCAGACTGGGGAGTACTACTCTGTGCTTTTGTAAGTTCTTTCCAATCCTTTATGTGCATCTAATCAGCATGCGGCCTAAGGGCTGTCACGTGCCGCGGCCCGGCATGCGCGTGAGGACGGCCTCCTCGCCGATGGCCTCGGCACCTACGCTGTCAGTCAAACAGGTCGCTCGTTCCGGGGATTTTCGGTTTACAGGGCTGCAACCTGCGAACGCAGTGGGTTTTCTTGCTCTCTATTCTCCATGTAGGGGCTTTCGTTTATCGCTGTGGCACAGCACAGGCTGAGCTACATCGAATCTCAAACCTCCTCTGCGTAGAGAGGGTCCCAGAAAGTACACCAGCGCGGAGCGGGCTGTGAACCCTTCAGGTTCTGCGGGGTGTGTTCGTGCCTTGCCAAAACGCAGCCTGCACCCCGCTTTTCAGGCCTCGTCCTTTATGCGGTTCATGTATGTGAGGAGTTTCCAGCGCCCTCGCATTTAAATGGTGTTTCTCCAGTCGCTCTGGAAACAGCTGGAATACACAGAAATACACTGAAATGGGGGAACAGGAATGTTAAGGTATACTGTTAAAGTCCTTAAGCATTTGGTCTTTAACTTCATCGTCGCTCAGGAAACCTGAAACCCTTTGGAGAATGCTACTTACCTTCTCCAGAAGACTTGAAAAACTACTAGTTGGTAAATTGATTGTGTAGTGAGACACAACAGTATTAAGTCTCCAAAATATTTTCAACTTATTTTCATCCTGCAGCCTAGGTTTCCCAGATAGGTTTGTTGACTGCAAACTTTTAGCCTCCTTATTTATGACTTAAAGGATTTTAAAGTGCTCGAGCCTTACTTTAAGTGCTCCTGCGTAATGCAGTGAACAGCAGTGCTGTGCCGTGAAAAACAGTGCTCGAGCACACTTGCAATTAAAGTCAAACATGCTGCACTGGGTAAGGAGCCTGACTTCCAGCCGCCGACTCCAGCTGCATCTCCTGCTTCTGTACCTCATTACACCACCACAACCCACTCGATGCTGAATATATCATTTATCAGCAAAACTCGACTACTTCTTCATGAAACTACCCTGAAGTTGACTGTGCTTTGAATCAGGGAAGTGAGGTAAAAATACTAAAAGTGCCGCGCTTTGGGACTTCCTTAGTGTTCCTCTAAACAAAGGCATGCTGCTGCACTCTTCTTGCTTGGCATTGGTGTTTGGGACAACCACTTAGATATTTTCAAAATGAAAATATAAAAACACATAGGACGGTGTTATTGAAAGCAGCTGGGGTGGCTGCTTTCCATCAGGACTCTTGTAGTACATTGAGTCAGCCTAAGACAGGGGTCCTGAGGACTACTAACTGCCAGGCCACGCAGCTCCTTAGACGAGAGGGAGCAGCGAACGCTCAGGGCTTCTGAAAGTCCAACTTAAATATGCGGCTTAAGCAGCTCTTTACAACAAAATGAAAATGAGGGCTATATCTGAACATCTGCTTTTAGAAACTACAGCCCAGCTACGAGCTATACGAAAGCACGATGGCCAGCTTTTTCTTGTTTTGGGGAGCTCTGATTTTCTCTTCCAGTCGGTCGTTTGACTACAGGCACAAGCTACACATCATCATTATTAGTCCTAAAACGCTGCAAAAGGGGTCTGTGCGCGGGGATGTGACCCCACCGTTCCGCACAAGTCGCATTTTCCATGCATGGGCATTCCCAGCCTTTCCTAGAACACTGGAAGAAAATCGCAGACAAGTGTAGGACAGCATGGCTGGGTTTGAGCAAGGATCATTCTGTCCTGGGCTGTTTTTAAACTACCAAAACCAGTACATGCCTTGCTTAATGGGCATTACAAAAATCAGCAGTAGACGTTTCCACTAGCAGCACGTTTTGGTTTATGTCACATTGCTTCAGGTACAATCCCTTAAGGGAAAGTTACAGAATTTGTATCGTATCTTATGTAGAAAAAGGTCATCTTCCTGTGTCAGCGAGGGTTGTAGCAGGACAACTCCATGACAGAAGAGACCAGGAAATAAACTGGTTTAGGTCAGTAGTTCTGATTCGGTAACAAAAGCCCCAAAAGGGCTGATGGCTTTGTCTGGGTTTAGCAGCTTCAAAACTTTGCCATTGGTTTGGGGTTTTTTGTACACTGCCTCTGCTCACCCCATCCATCACTCTGCCACCCCAGCAGCTCACCGCATAATTGTCCTGTCGGGGGGGTTATTTGAATCCACATTTCTCTTGGAGCTATGAGAAGCAGCACTTGACTTGGCATCCTCTGTATATGTTGACAAAAAGGCACAGGTGTTGTAACCTTTGCTTGATAAATCATTTACTTTTGCTACTTGACTCGCAAGCAATATGGGGGCATCAGCTTTTTAGCTGCCTTTTCCATATGCAAATCAGAAATACAGTACGCCTGGGGTACGCAGGCTTTGGTTTCAGAGGCGAGCGGGTCTGGATAGCTCATGGCTAAGTAACAGATACATCTCTCCTAGTGCCAAGGACTTGTAACAGGGAGAGTGGTAGGGGAATGGGAAAGTACCATCACGTTAATTAGGGACTGGCCTAGCAGTAGCAACAGCACTAATGAAGAATAAAGGCTTCTGAGTTTGGGGTTGGGTTTTTTTCCTAATCAGGTGATAAAAGTAATTATGAAACCCAGGCTATGAGAGTACGTGCAGCTGCTAACTCTAAACTAGCAACCTGCTCTTTGTGAGCGGTTTGCATTGTCACTCACCACTCTGAACAGTGTTTGCTGGTCAAAAATGCCCTTGCTGTGCTCTGTAGTATGAAATGCCTTTAGGGATCGCAAGTGTTGCGTGTGCTGCAGCTCCAGGCTAAACATTGCTTACTAGGCTGAGCCCTGTTTGCCATCTACTTACCCTACATCTTCCTGGAAATTGTACTTCAGGTGCTAAAAACAGCTCCTGAGCAGCACATGCCGGCTCCATCTAATCCCTCCTACCTGCCAGCACCCCGTGTGCCTTGCACAGTAGGGTCTGAGGATGCACGGAGCAGGCACCCAGGCAGAGGAGCCACCTGTGAGAAGCTAAATGGGTCTCTTCTCTGCTAAAGAGGGAGCTGGTATCACATGTGCCCTCCTGACCAGCTGTTTCTGGAGAAATCCCTCCCTGATGTAAACATGCTTCCTAGCACATCCATCCCAGTTAGTTGCTGAAACCTGGCTAAGTGCAAAGCCAAGTATTTATTCCTTTAGCTTTCTCTAGGAAAAGATAAACCTATTTTATAGGAGAACAGCAGAAGCTCTTCCTGCCTCTGCATGATCCCAGAGCTACAGACAGCTCATGGATTCAGTAAGCCAAGGGCCCTGGAGCCACCCAGCAGCCAGTGCTCTGGGTGGAGCTCGGCCTTCATAGTGCAAAAGAGCTGAAACAAAAGCCCTACAGCTTACCTAGCCCACCGTGGGAAGTTATAAGAAACCTCCAGACGCTCAAACAAGTTGATCCAGGCAGCGAAAGGACCAGTGTGAGAACCAGAGCAGTTACCAGCGTCGCCGTGCTCTCGCCACCAGCCTTCGAAACACCAGGTACGCAAATGCAGCCTGTGAACCACAGCTGCAAGAGTTAGTTATGGGGTGAAATTACTGGAGTTTAGCAGAATGTTTATGGTATAAGCAAATTGCCAACTTCTTTAGATCTGCTCCCGGCCCCTGCTTTCCTGCACGAGACAGTGCTGTCTTTGTAGCTGCTTCTTTTAGGCTTTTATTTATTTCTTAACAGCCATGCTGTGCCTCAGGTGCGTACACAAACCCAATTGTGTAACGACTTTCTTCTCGAGAGACAAGGGAAAGGCTATTTTACTTCCCCACGACCCTTTCAGAAAGCAAACTGCAACCTGTGATTTTTCACTGGCAGCACTTTAAAACAAAGGGCATGAGAAGAAACCCGAGCTTTAGGCTGTGTCCTGTAGGTTAGCAGATGTGGGCTCTGTCAGGGAAGGGAGGGAGGCAGATTCCGGAGTAGGTGGTCCTTCTGTGGTAACAGCCAGTCCCTGCTGCCTCCACACTTAACTCGGGGGGCTGTGGTGCAGGTGATGCCCCTCGCCGGGGCGGGGGGGGCAGGGAAGCCGTCTCGCAGGTAGCAAGGCCCAAACCGCCCAGGGTTCATAGATCAAAGTCAACACCTTGAGTAGGAAGCTGCTGCAGTCCCTCCAAGCTATTGCTCCTGCGGCTGAAACGGCAGAGCTGTTCTGTGCCCAGGTTCCATTGCCACCCTATGGAAGAAAGAAACCAGTGCACACATTTTTCTTCTGACAAATGGAACTCGTGCCTGGCTTTGCAGGGGTTTGCCAGCTTTGCCTCTCGCCGATCCCCTGCCCCGGCACCCTGCCCTTTGCACCGTCAGAACGGGATGCGGAACTGCCGGACTCGGTGCGGCTCGTGTTGATGGGGTTCGCTGCACAGAGAATGAGCTCTGCACGTTCTCTGTTTCTCCCATTTCCCAGCACCCAGGAATTGCTCTGGTCAGGCAGGCAGCAGCC